TGTTTATATGCTACGTAAGATTATCTAAGTGAAAAGATTCTGGACGTGGAAAAGAGGAAAATCAGTTTTTGAAATGGAAGACAACCTTGAAAGAAATGCAACATATCTTACACTGAAAAAAAAGAAGAAATTAAACTGAATTTATAAATACTATTTGGACCAAAGAAGATCACTTTTTAAGATTTAAATGTTTTCCTCTCCAAAAGGGGCCACTGCTTACCAAATCCAGAAACAAGCCCAAGAATATGTTAATTAAGTGCATTGTGTCCGAGAAAGAATGAGGTTGACAAATTCATTTTTTATTCCTTCGATTAATAAACTGTTTGTCTAGTACATCTTAGGTTTTTTAAATCTATAATGTGCATATTTACCTCTTGAAACTGTACAGTAACAGTGCCAAGGACCAACATGACCCCATAGGGTGAATCTTATGAAGCTTAACATTCCTGACGAATTAAACACACAAGCCTCGGATCACTTTTTGTCAGCCTTATTTTACTGCAGCGCTTGAGAGCCAGAAGGTAGGTAATTTTTATATGGTGGCACTTTACCCCAATTAAAAAAGCAATGATCGTTGGTACAAGCAGAAGTGGAAAATATAATGACATAAAATTAAAGAAAAGTATCACAAAGACTGACCAGGAATGCTACTTGTCCCTCTCCATCCCCACCCCCATTCATGCCCTTTTTCCATCCATTTGTTGTTTTTCTCACAAGAATATCATGACTCCTAAGCATATTTTTACTTTAAATGAAACAAAAAATGTCTGAAACAGTGAATGATATAAAACGATTCACCTTTTACTATCAACTACATAACAGATAAACATGTAAAGCTATTCTAAATATTCAAAGACTTATAAATAAAAAATGTAAATTGATGGAGGAACTGTGGGAGGATGAGTGTGAAACGAATGAATAGATTGAAAATACTTGATTTTCAACACCGATTTTTTTTTCTGTTCAAACCTTTCCATAGTTACGCCTCAAATGATTTCTTACATAAGAATTTCTCCCTGTATCTCGAAATAACTGAATGATTTCCACGAGGAAATGCAAGTTTGGAAAGAAGACCCGCAAAATGAAAGTGTTAAAATGCAAGCAACTTCTATAGCATTTCAAATGCAAAAATACAACCATCACTACCTTTAACTGACTCTTAAGGGGTCTTTTCAAACAGATGCTATTTATGAGCATCATCTGTTAACTTCTTTCTTGTAATTCAAAACTCTGTCAAATGTTTTCATGACGACGTGTAAATATAATATTCCATTAAAGATAAATTCTAATTGATTTTTTAAAATCTACCTTGGGAAACAGTGCTTCATAACACACAGACTAGTAATGAGTATTTTAGAAGGAATTTCCGCAAAGTCTATCATAAACCTAAGTCGAAATTACTCTCTTGCCCTACAAAGGTTTGGACCACAGGATTGAAATTATTTCTTCTTGGCCTTTCACGCACGATGACTTTGGTCTTGTCGACAAGACTCACAAGCACTTGTTGGAAATCTTCATTTAAAAAAAAACAACTGTGACGTTGGCCAGAAATATTTCTTCCACATGCCTCACAAAGGAAAACAGTTTATTAAGTGGATTGCAATTATTTGTTTCCAAAACGTGGCTTAAAAGCAACTTAAACGTTTTTCCCTTTTGAAATTCCCTATTTTGAAAACGCACTTCACGTTAAAGGAAGCCCGTTTTTGAAAGAGCTAGCTCAGCCTTTCCTTTTAAAACTAGACTTCTTGTGTACAAAGAAGAGCTGCGTAGTCGGTAATAAGGATAGCGAAACGTGCTTTTCCGAATTCCTTTGAAGCTTTTTTTTTAAATGAGTTTTTGAATCCATACATTTCAAGATATTTCAAACACTATATAATCGACTGTAACTTTCCGGATCCAGAACAACTGCCCACGTGTGTCTCTTATCTATTTATCACTTTATAAACATATCTACGTTGCTTTCCCGTTTTCTCATAACGTGTGCGTTGCAGGCTTGCCCAGCTTCCTTCAATTTCGCAGCACGCTGTAAAGGCTCCTTCCTCCGAGGTCTTCAACTGGGAACCCCCTTGCTGGCTGAGTCTGACCATAAAACTTGCCGCGCCGGCCCGACCCGACCCGGCCGGAGCTCAGGAGCCCGGGGAGGTGCGGGCGGGGGTCGGGTTGGCCCGCTGGACCCCTCCCTCGGTCAGGACGCGCTCGGCTAACGGCGGCGCTAGGGCAGAACAATGGGGGCGACCCGGCGGGCGCGAGGAGCCGAGTCCCGCTTCCTTCGCCACGCCAGACCTGCGACCGGCCCCCGCCCCCCGAGGCCCTCCCCGCCTGCCTCTACGCGCTCGCCCGTCCCGCCGCGCCTTCCTCCAGCTGCCCGGCCCGACGCTTGCCCCGCCACCCGCACGCCTTCTTCCCCGCCCGGGCCTGGCTGGCCCTCCTTTCCCCGACACCGACCCACGGCGCTTCTTCCCCGCAGCCGCCGCCTTCCCGCCCTTTTCTGAATGTATTTTTACAGTTTCCCCCTTGATTTCCAAAAGTGGCTGAGAAGTCTCGCTTCCATCTTAATGTTGATTTGCTATTTTCCCTCCGGAAAAGATTTCCTCAGGAAACCCCAAATCTAGAAGGAAATACAGCAAACCCCAGAACGCTTTTAACCCTTAAGACATCTTGTCTTTAAAAAAATTAATAAACGCATGTATGTCTTAAAACCGGCCAAAGAACCATCCCCTCGCTCTTTTATTTCCTCCTGTAAATGCTATTATTTTAAACTCTCCATCCAGTGCCTTCGGACGAGAGGGCAGAGAATGTGCCCGGCAGCACGCAGCAAATCAGAGGTTTTATCTTACGCCTCCTGGGACTGGGGAAAAAAGTGGAACGTGGCCGAGGGAGCTTCCAGGGCAGAAAAGCGACACAATTCGCTGGGGACGCCGCTGGGCCAGGCCAGGCGGGGGAGGCACGGCGGGGGCATCGAGGGCTCTCGGGCTCCGGGCCGGGGCGCCGCTGCCAGGAGGGGAGGCGGTTTTAAGTCGTGGGGGCTGGGAGGGCGGCGGCGGGTCGGGCGTGACGAGACTTTTGGAGGCAGGATGGGGCGGCGGTGGAGTTGCCTGGGCTTTCTCATACCCCCCCAACTCCACACCCAAAGAAAAAAAGGAAAGTTGGAGGGAGGCGGAGAGGAGGGCAGCCATTCCCATTTCCTCCCCGCGACGCCGCGGAAGGGATGGGGCCGCGGCGGGCAGAGAGAGGGCGCGGGATGAGGCGGGCCAATCGCAGTCAACAGGTCCAGGCCTCAATGGGGCAGCTGAGCCGGGAGGCCGGCGCCCCCTCCCCTCGGCTCCCCGTCCCTCCCCTCCCTCGCAGGCCCGGCGCGGCAGGGGAGGCCCAGCCCTCCCCGCCCCACGCGGACTCGCTGCGGCCGACTCCGCCGGGGCAGTCGGGATGGGGGTGGGGCGGGGGTTCCCCGCCGGAGAATCCTCCCCCGGGGCTGGCGGCGGGGGCGGGGGCGGGGGCGGGGGCGGGGACGGAGAGCCGGGAATGGAGGATTAGGAAGGACTCCAGCTCGGCACGAGCGCGGCCCGCGCGAGGGATCCTGGGTAAAAAGTGGCCGCGCGGCACCGGGAGAGCGCGGAGAGGAGCCGGGGTCAGAGGTCAGGGCCCTGGAGCCCCGCGAGCAGAGCCCCCTACGTGAACGCAGCGAGCAGGAGGAACCTTTTTGTTTTCAACCGCGCCAGCATGCTCCCCTATTGACCGAGCTGCTTTTCCTGGGCTGCTGGGGAGAGGAGCTCCATTGCGGATCTCCTAACCCCACCCCTCCTTCCACCGCCAACACACTTCCCAACTCAACCCTTCCTCTCAACTCTCATCCCAGCCCCCCGTCCCGAGCTTGCAATAACGCAGTAAATTTGCTTTAACAACAAGTGGGGGTGGTTGAATTTACTCCTCCCTCTCCTCTCTCCTCCCCCTCCTCTTGCTGCGGCTCTTGACACTACTACAAACCAGGGCTATAAACATAAACATGTGTCACTGTAACAGGGCAGGTAATATACGGATTTTGAGGTGGGCTGGGGTGGAACGGGGCTTGGTCGCCGCTTGGAGGGCAGTAAAAAATCGCGTTTCACGTGCTCGACGGCTTTGGGGACGCTCCCACACATCGATCCATTTATATAATGCCGAAGGCACTCGGTCACTTATTCAGCCACGCAGACCCACAAAGCCAGAACGCGGATAACCAGCGTACCCCAAAGCAAATGCATTTCAGTACGAATCCCTCTCCTTTCCCAGCCAGAGCTGCCATATCTTCTATTAGCAAACAGTAACGTGATACTTGAATCCCCTTTCCTTTTTAAAAATTCTTTTCCAGATAGCCATGAGCTCATTTTTCGACCTAGATAGTACATCTCTCCCATAGCCACTACCTACACATTTTGTGCGCAGAAACCCCTTCAAACAGCAAGAAAGACTATTTAAATGACTGAGTTCGAAATCTGGTGTGCAAAGGGTATTCCTTGGGCTTTGCCTCCGTGCATTGAGCAACTTCTGCAAGTTGCTGAGACTGGCGCGGTGGAGATCCGCCACAGCAAGCCTTTTTTATTGTTATTTAGTCTATATCTGCCTCTCAACTTTTTTCTCATTCTTAGTTCAACAAGCCAGCAACCACTACTTAAGGTAGAGTAAAGCGCATCCCTTCCCAAGCTTTTTGGCTTGAAACGGAGGGAGATACAGAAAATGTTCAGATGGGGAAGTGGTTCCCTTTGTTCTTTCATTGTTTCTCTACGAACTGGTGGATACAAGGACAAACACTTACCTTCTCTTCTTTTTGCTCCAAAAACCAGACGTTCCCATCAGCCTTAAAATACACAATCCACCTTGAAAGTAACTATGGATGTCGGGAGAGTTTGTATTCCATTCTTTTTCGCTCTCTGCCCTCTTTTAGCGTAGGATTAAGTTGCCGAGCACGTTGCTGCAAGCTGTAGCCCCCCCCCCCCCCCCCACCCCCGCCTTAGTGAATCGGTCACGTTTAGGACCCTCTAAGTCCATCCTAATTCTGCCAGTAGAATTGAGGATATTGGAGCTCTAAACTTTCAAAAGGAAAGGGGCCTGCAACTCTCCAGAAAACTTACAAATATCCCGAGATTTTTTACCATTGTGTTTTTGCACCACATTACCAAACAGTATTTGCCAATAAATAATAGATATGTCTTTGAGAAAAGTATTTTTTTAACTTTATACTTAGCAATGCGCTGCTTAGACAGATGGAGTAAAAGGCAGGTTTGTATCGGCATTTAACGGAATGAGTGCGTTTTCCCTAACGTTTGTTGTGCCATGTGTTTTTTTAAAAACAAACAAAACACTACCCCAACTGAGAAAGGAAGTAGAAGTTTGAATTAAAATGTTGTGGAACAACTTTAAAGGAGACGTTTACTTGAAATTTATTAGTGTAAAAATTGGCCTCAGAAGTTAAAAGTAAGCTTTTCAAAGTTAAAAGACTTAATTTTCACCCTATGATTCCATAATAAAAAAGCGAATTTTCTGGTTAATATGTGATACTGTCAGTGTTGAGTGTCCAGCTTTTTGGGCATTAGTGCCCAAACCTTGCTCAAATCTGATTATGATGTGATTTGCTGATGTCATGAATATGAAATGATACTTGTATATCCATAAATTCGAAGTTGTGATTTTTTTGTTTATTTTTCTTTTTTCTTTTTTTTTAATCTCCCGCTTTTTTGTAGGTTCCCAGTAGCTGCAGCAGTGAAAGACAGTGATTGGCTCCAGTGCTCCTACAAGGATTTGGGCTGAAGCCAGGGGAACAGAACCAGAAGAGGATTCCCTTTCCAGAGACCATCAGGCTCCTCATGTCTTGTCTCTCCTCTCTCCCCTCGTGGTGGCTCAGGATTTCAGTATGGCTGAGCAGCCCATAGGTAGGCCTCAATGCTTGGTGTCACCACTTCAGTCTCTACATGTTTGGCCCTTGTGTAAAATAAACAAAAACTTGGGCAACCCTAACAAATTGTGGTTCTGGGTATTTGTGTATTATTTAATATCTGAAGGTCAAACTCTACTTTCTCTGATTTTTTTTCTTTTGCATTCAGGATGAATTGTGAAAGGCCCTTGTGTCTCATAGGAAAATATTGCAACAAAACAAGATAATTGGGGGGAAAGGCGGTTGCAGTAGGAAAAGTGGCTTTTCTTTGATAGCATTTAATTGGAATTAAAAGATTCTTGAGCTGTAAACATTCTTTATTTATTCAGCACACATAAGCAGGCATTGTTTTATCACCATCATAATTATGGTGTCCTTTAAACTGGCTGATAGCAGGAAAGATAAGGGAATGTGCTTGCAGATTCAGATCAAGTCTCACTCCTTTCTTTCTTTTCCTCCCTGTCCCCTTCCCCCCACCCTCCCCATTCCTTCCTTGGTCACTAGGGTCCCCCACAGCCCTTGAGATGAGAAGAGCAGGAAGATTGTAGCCTAACTGTTTCTTACATCAAGTGATTTGTACCTCACTCTAATTTGATGCAATCCATAACCTCCTTGTCTCCTATGTATATAACTGGTTTTTAGCTTGCAATATATGTTATCTGGAGGTGCCTATTGCTCACCTGTGTAAAGTCTCATCCACTAGGATTTGTTGCTTTACCTTTGTCTAATTTAGAGAGCACACTCTTAGGGCTTTTTCAGAACAAAGCCTCACAAAAACCCCTTTACCTCCAAGGATTTGCAAATTTATAAAGGCTGCATTGAATTCAAGATGGGTCAGGGGGCAAAAAAAGGGTAGAAGGTCACTGCATTTTGATTATGGGTCAGTAGACAACATGGCATATACCCTGTGTCCCAAACTTCTGTTAAAGACAGGGTTTTTAAATGCCTAAGAACAGAGGGATGGGCCCTTTTGGAAACTTACCCTGATTTGTTTAAATGAACCAGAAAGAAAAAAAATTAAGGGAAATATACTAAGTTATCATTTGTTTCTCAATTTAGCCATTTTCTACTCCTCCATTCCCATTTTCCCATCCCAAAAAGCAGAGAAGATGTGATATTAGACAAACTTAGCTAAAGAACTGTTGAGATTTTATTGTCTTATATTCTCAACTAATTCAGCCATATGAGACTTTATGATTATTTTAAACTTTTATCTTGTGAATATTATAGTTACTTTTAGTTAACAGCACAAGGGGCTTCTTTTATTCTTTTAACCAGCATACTTACATTGTTGAGGCCTTTGTGATGTTCCTTACTCTTTTCTGTCTGAATTCACTTTGAACAAAATGTGCCCAGCAATCACTAAAACAAATGTATATGGTGAAGAGTTGCGGGGGGGGGGGGGGGGGGGGGGAGGCGTTTTGGGAGCAGTGATCCTCATTTAAATTATGCATGTATGGGTGAAAGCTTGGAAGGAAAAGGATTATTTTAATGCTCTTCAATACTTTAATTATATGACAGTTGTAGTGTAGAAATGCAAAAGTACTCTTAGGTTTTCCTTCAGGTTTTCAAAAGAACTTTCCCCATTAGTAAACTACTCCTGCAAATTGCTATTGCATTTCCCAGCTAACCATTTAAAAGACTGTAAATGCCGTGTATATTACTTCGCTCCAGAGGAAAGAGGTCAGACTGAATTGCAATGGTATTTAAACATAAAATACAGTGAAAATAAATCAAAATAGAGCATCTGAAGGTAAATCTAGCACATTCATATGGGATAAGTAAAGACAAATATCTTCATATTTTCATGGTCCTTCACTTTAAAAACTGAAAGTGCTGATTTTTTACAATAAATGCAGAAGTAAGTGAACATTAGGAATATATTTCAATCTGTATTTGCTAAAGAGGATTTTCCTTTTGCAAGCAGCTTTGTTTTCAAAGCTAAAGCACTTTTTACAATAGTGTGTAGATTAGGCATTCCTCACTGAGTAAATAATCACATTTAATTAAACTCAATGCATATTATACATGTGCCTAAATTCACAATAATTCCCTGGACCCACAGAGAAGGATATAGATATAAATGTTAATTTGGACATATCTATCCACATATGTACATGCATTTGAAAAACATAGAAGTTGATACATCTTTTCTTAAAAAGAATTTGAATACAGTCCATTATCTGAATTGGGTTCATCTTTGATTGTAGAGGCAGCTGACATGGTCAACAAATTTATCAAAGAAACCCCCTGGCTTTTGAAGAATAGTACTTTATACATCTGGATCTGCACATCAGGCAAAGTAAGTAAATTATTGCATAACTTTAAGCATAATTGATAACAGACACCTTTAATTTTTCATCCCCATTCTTTTGGCCAGCTTTCGCATTAATAATCTAAGCCATAAATGTTGGTAGCTATTGATCGAAATCCCCGGTGTGCATGCAAATCCATCTTAAAGTCCCCTGCCTTTCATGTGTGAGCACTCAGGGGCCTCTGCTAGATCTTTTTATCGGGATCGACCCCCAATGTGCCTGGAGAAGACCCCGGATATGCAACGTGTGCTGATGGCCACAAGAAAGCTGTCTGTCACATTCTGTGTTTGTGTGTGTATGTGTGCGTGTGCGTGTGTCTGTGCACTCACTCGAGCAAGAGTGCTGGAGCCTAACACACACATACACACAAGGATGGGGAAGTTAAAGGAACAAAAGAATGTATTAAGAAGAAAGATGTGTAATAGTAGTATTAAAAATGTATAAGTGTAAAGGTGTCTGAGTGTACATATAGATACTTGCACAAAGTCAAATCCCCTAGCCTTTATTTTTCTCTATTTCACCCAACAGATTTGCCCTTAGTTAAACAAAAAAAAAAAAAAAAAATTAATAAGCTACTAGTTTTCAAAACTACCTATATTGCCAATAATTTTAAAGGTGGAAAGAGAGGAAGAGAGAGGAAAAGAAGGTAGTTTTGAAATGGCTACTAAATCATGTTGCTATGTGTAGGAGGACTGGGGGAGGGGGAAGAGAGAGAGAGAGAGAGAGAAAATCTAAACAGGAATGGAGAACAACTAAAACTACCTGGAAAAAAAAAAAAAAAAAAAAAAAAAAGATGCTCTAGCCAACCTTTTGTACTGTCTTCTCAAAGGCTTTTTCTGAGTTTACTATTTCTTGGCTGACTCTTTGGTCTAAATCTTAAAGCTGGGGGAGGGGAGTAGGCGGGGGTGGGGGTGGGAGGGAGAGGGCTGGCAGTACTATATAAGTGCATCAGAAGGAATTTTAAAACGACATTATTGTTGCTGGCAATAGAAAGACTCTGGTCATTCTACTTTTAGAAACAAACATGAGCATCTGCTTTTCCTGAAAACTTCGCTTTCTGCTTAAACCTTGTGCATTTTGCCTCTTGTGAAAGTGAAAGAGAAAAACGCAGTGTAATAGATCCAGATGCAAAAGAAAGCCAACTCGGTGGATGGTATTAGCTGTGACGAGGCATTGTTCATTGCTGCCTCTCGGTTACGTTTAAAGCCTGAAATATCACGAGATCCATTCAATGATCCTTCTTTCATTCAAGGGACAAAAATGTAATTTGCTGTAGCTCTGATTTCTTGGATGGAAATGCTAGCCTTAGATTTCAAAGGCAAGAACTAGACATCGCGGTTTGTACACACATTGATTAAGTTGAAGAGCGGCGATTACATCTGTGCTGAGTGCAACAGTAGTTCAGGGGCTGACTTTTCAAATCCCAACCTCCTGAGTTACAAACTGTCTTAAATAGACTTCCTTAATTTCCGGATGCACTTCTTGAAATTCCCAATTCTCTTCAAAATTCCTGGGAAATTACAAAGGAGATGAGGGTGGGGGTGGGGAATTATGGCCGAGATTTCATCTTGTCAAACAAACTACCTTTTTGTATGTCTGATTCCTCTGTTTTTATCTTTCTGTTTTCTTTTTTGGGCCATACCTGCTCGTGCCAGCCAGACCAGAGCAGAGGAAGCTGGAACTTTTGAATGTGAAGAAAGAAATTATTGTATAATTTTTTTTCTTGCAGGCTCAGAAATATCCGTTTATTCTTTTAATCACGCGGATGTGTCTATTTTTGGAGGAACAAGGAAACACATAAATGCCTGGGTTGCATTTATGTTGTAGTTGCAAACACCGAACAGTTAAGAAGATTTTGCCGAATTTTGCAAAGCAGCCAACGAGCCGCCTTGGGATCGTGGTAATGCGACTGGGAGGACCCTTGCTCTCATTTGGCAATATTTTGGATATCCTTGAAAATGACACCAAAATATGCCTTAATTTGACTAAGAAGAGGTTAAACCACATTGATTTTCATCCAAAGTGATTTTGTTAAAGCAGATGCTTGACTTTGATGGAAAAACTGGGAGTTGTGGAAGATTCACCTAAACTACCAACCCAAAGCATCACAAACCACTGAAACAGTCTGCATCGTACATCAGCACTTTCTTTTCATTGTTATTACGTAAAACCTCTGGAAGCACCTTGGGCGTTTGACATTTTCTTTTCTTTGCTGCAGAAGGAAGCAATCTGCTCCCTGGAATTCTGACCTGTGGTGAACAGGACCCTGGCAAAGGCTTTGCTGGGGACTCTTGGACGATCCCGCCTCCAATCCAGTACGGTTAATTGTGGAAAAGTGTACACATTTCTGGCTTATCTATGCTTTGTTATGGGTCTGACGTGAAACTACCTCCTCCCCACCCCACCCCCCAGCAGAGAACCGAAATCCAGTTGAATTGTTACAGTGTTTCAGAGCTGGAGCCTTGAACTGCTTCCCTGGTCAAATAACTTTGTTTCTGGTTGTAAAAAGGCATTTCAGGGGGGGAAAAAAAAAAGGAAAATCGAGAGAAATTCCAAACGTAAGTCCGCACTGGGGTGGTTCACGGGGCGGGTTTAACTTTGGAGCTCCTAGCCGGTCTTCTTCCCCACTCCTGTAAGGGAAATACCAGGCTATTCTGCACATTTTCGCTTAAGCTCCATTTTCCAAAAGGAAAAGGGGGTGGGGTATATCTCTTTCGGCTTGATAATGTTTTTTAAATGCTTTTCTTTGAAATGATAATAGCTGTATCGGTAAAATGCAAATAAAGGAAAAAATAGGCAGTATTTCTTTAAAGGCGAATATACGGTGCGGTTTTTTTTTTTGGTTTTTTTTTTTTGGTTTTTTTTTTCTTCCTTAACCGTACACACACTGCTTCTGATGAAGTCTGTGAGTCAGGCTGTTTCTGAGCTCCGATAGTTTAATGGAAAGATTTATATACCGACTGTATTATTTACTTTGGGAGGGGAGGTGGCAGTATAAGGGTATGCTAATTAGTGGGAGATTTTGGGGGGAAGGGGTGGAATATCAATTTTTATTGCATCACCTGTCAGGAGTGTCCAATCAGCGCTGGCTTTAGGGGAATTAATTGATGAAGGTGTCTCCGGACGAGCTCACTTCACTCTGTCATTTTATTTGTAGCTAAAGCAGCGGCGGGAATAGCAGCTGCATTTCTTTTCTCTTTCTCCCTTCACATTCCATTATCATAGTGCTCCAATGGAGAAGGAAGGAATAGAGGGGCCCAGGTACTGATCTGCATCGGGGACTCAGACCAACACACTGGCAGATCAGAAACCGGATGGTTTTTTCCCTCTTTTTTAAAAAAACGAAAACAACAACAACAAAAAAGCAAGAATCAAGTCAGTGTAATTTCATGGGGTTTCCCCCCCCCCAATAATTTCGCCTAGAGTTTGGCACTTCCTTCGCCGGGAATAACAGTCTTTGTTATTTTATTAGCAGGATGCCTTGAGACACACGCAGCATCTGGCGGAGGATTAACATACATACATGTGTATGTATGCGTCACGTATATATTTACTGCAAATGGTGGGGATCATTTAGTGCCCGAGATGGGAGACCTGAAGTCAGGTTTTGAAGAGGTGGATGGCGTGAGGCTCGGCTACCTCATCATTAAAGGGAAGCAAATGTTTGCCCTCTCCCAAGTCTTCACAGATCTGCTGAAAAACATCCCGAGGACGACCGTGCACAAGCGCATGGATCATCTGAAAGTGAAGAAGCACCACTGCGATCTGGAGGAGTTGCGGAAACTCAAGGCAATCAACAGCATCGCCTTCCACGCAGCCAAATGCACACTCATCTCCCGGGAAGACGTGGAAGCTCTCTACACCTCCTGCAAAACCGAGCGCGTCCTCAAGACCAAGCGCAGGCGGGTCGGCCGGGCCCTGGCCACAAAGGCGCCGCCGCCAGAGCGCGCCGCCGCCGCCAGCCCCCGCCCGGGATTTTGGAAGGACAAGCACCAACTTTGGCGGGGCCTGAGCGGAGCCGCGCGGCCCCTGCCAATCAGCGCGCAGTCCCCGCGCCCGGGCGCCGCCGCCGCGCGCCCCGCCGCCCATCTACCTCAGATTTTTAGCAAATACCCCGGCTCGCACTACCCGGAGATCGTGCGTTCGCCCTGCAAACCCCCTCTAAACTATGAAACTGCCCCGCTCCAGGGAAACTACGTCGCCTTCCCCTCGGACCCGGCTTATTTTCGGAGCCTGCTGTGCAGCAAGCACCCGGCCGCCGCCGCCGCCGCCGCCGCTGCCGCCGCCGCCGCCGCCGCCGCCGCTGCCGCCTACTACCAGGCATCCGCGGCCGGGCCCCAGCCCAAGGCAGCGGCGGGCGCCAGAGGCCCGGGAAGCCTGAGCTACCGCTGCAAACGCAAGCGCGGCGGCACCAAGGACTGCTTGCTCGCGCCCCACGCCGGCGCGCGGCGCCTGCTGCTGCTGCCCAGGTCCTACAAAGCCAAGGCGGCCGCGGCGGCGGCGGCGGCGGCGGCGGCGGCTGCGGCTGCCGCCGGGGCCACTTGCCTGGAGAGGTTTCATCTGGTCAACGGTTTCTGCCCGCCTCCGCACCACCACCACCACCACCACCATCACCACCACCACCACCACCACCGGGCCCAGCCGCCGCAGCAGAGTCACCACCCCCCTCACCACCACCGGCCGCAGCCCCATCTGGGCAGCTTTCCCGAGAGTTGCAGCAGCGACTCCGAGTCCAGCTCCTACTCGGACCACGCGGCCAACGACTCGGATTTTGGCTCCAGTTTGTCCAGTTCCAGCAACTCTGTGTCCTCGGAGGAAGAGGAGGAGGAGGGAGAGGAGGAGGAGGAAGAGGAGGAGGAGGAGGAGGGGGGCAGCGGGGCCTCGGATTCCAGTGAAGTCAGCTCGGAGGAGGAGGACTCGTCCACCGAGTCGGACTCCAGCTCCGGCTCCAGCCAAGTGTCAGTGCAGAGCATCCGATTCAGGCGTACCAGCTTCTGCAAGCCTCCCAGCGTGCAGGCGCAGGCCAACTTCTTGTACCATCTGGCCTCCGCCGCCGCTGCAACCAAACCCGCTGCTTTCGAGGATGCCGGCAGACTTCCCGACCTCAAGAGTAGTGTCAAAGCGGAGTCGCCGGAGGAGTGGAATCTGCAGAGCTGGGCCCCCAAAGCGTCTCCGGTGTACTGCCCGGCCAGCCTGGGGAGTTGTTTCGCAGAGATAAGGAACGATAGGGTATCTGAGATTACATTCCCACACTCTGAAATTTCCAATACTGTAAAGAGAACTGACCTGACAATTAACTGCCTGGCAGAGGGGGCCTCTTCACCTAGCCCAAAGACAAACAATGCATTTCCACAACAAAGAATACTCCGGGAGGCTAGGAAATGCCTACAAGCAACTCCTACTACACACTGTGCAGATAACAACACAATAGCTGCTAGGTTCTTAAATAATGATTCTTCAGGAGCAGAAGCAAATTCAGAAAAAGATTCCAAAATCCTTCATTGTCCTGAATTTGCTACGGATTTGCCCTCTTCGCAGACTGATCCTGAAGTGAACGCTGCAGGAGCAGCAGCAACTAAAGCCGAGAATCCCTGCACTGACACAGGTGACAAGACATTGCCATTTCTGCACAACATTAAAATCAAAGTAGAAGACAGTAGTGCTAATGAAGAATATGAACCTCACCTTTTTACAAATAAGCTAAAGTGCGAGTGCAATGATACAAAGGGTGAGTTTTACAGTGTGACTGAGAGTAAAGAGGAGGACGCCTTGTTAACCACAGCCAAGGAAGGTTTTGCATGCCCTGAAAAAGATACTCCTTCCTTAAATCCACTGGCTCAAAGTCAGGGCCTTTCATGCACTTTAGGTTCTCCAAAACCTGAGGATGGGGAATATAAATTTGGTGCCAGGGTAAGAAAAAATTACCGGACACTAGTACTGGGAAAGCGACCTGTCCTTCAGACACCTCCAGTCAAACCAAATTTGAAATCGGCTAGAAGCCCTCGTCCTACAGGTAAAACTGAGACACATGAAGGAACACTGGATGATTTTACAGTTATAAACAGACGCAAAAAGGTAGCCAGCAATGTAGCATCAGCAGTGAAAAGGCCATTTAATTTCATGGCAAATTTTCCTTGTCCACCATCACTCATTATTGGGAGAGATGGGGACTTGTGGCCGGCGTATTCCTTAAACACCACTAAGGATTCTCAAACTCCTCACAAGGCCCATCCTATATGGAAATGGCAGCTGGGCGGTTCTGCAATACCTCTTCCACCTAGTCACAAATTCAGGAAATTTAATTCATAAAAATGTTTTGGAAGATATTTTCTTGAAGCATATTACCTTCCTTTTGTTGTAAACTGCACAGGATGGTTTGTACAAGTCCGTTAATGTGTTACACCCCATTTGGAGTCCTGGTTTATCGCATTTTGAAGACAGAAATCGATTACTTTTTTCCTTTCGGTTTTTTTTTTTTTTTTTTTTCTGAGTAGGGTGGTGGGGTGTGGAGAAGGTTGGTTACATCTCCACAGACTACTTCAGGCTAAAGACCTCAAGTAAAACTCAGTTATTACCGTAGAGCTGGAACCCTTTACTGTTTTAAATCTAATAATGCACCCCGGTACCGTCAATTCAACTGCTAAAATAAATGTCAAAAGGTTGAATAATAAATATTACAATGAGCGCATTAAGTTTATGCACTAAGATTTGCAGGGCTGAAATGTAACTGTTAATTCAGTGAAAGTTTGTTAGGTTACATGGTTACACAGTGAGGTGAGGTGAGGTAGCAAGAAGTTTCTGTGAGCCCAAAATGTTATTTTCTGGAGCTCTTGTTTGTGGGGTATCTTTTTCTTTTGACTCCCCTCATTCTCTCTTCAAGAGTAGTTGCACTTAACTTTTTTTTTTTTTAGTGGAAAGATTGGGGTGTGAGTCCTGATTAAATGCTAGTAAAAGCTGCCTCATACATACTGAGTAAAATAAATATGGAATTGTATTTTTTTTGTAAAGGGTGTGATTTTACTTTTAAAGCCACTCCTTGCAATTGGAAAAGTCCGTTTTGTGTTCTCACCCAAAGGTTTTAAATAAGGTGACTCTTACTATAGTCCTGCTTATCTTGTGGTCTGAACGTGACTCTTCAAACTCCCAAAACAATTGAAATATATATATATATATATATATATATATGGTTTTTTTGGTTTGTTTTTTTTAGAAGAGAGTCTCGCTATGTCGCCCAGGCTGGAGTGTAGTGGCACAATCTCAGCTCATTGCAACCTCCACCTCCCAGGTTCAAATGATTCTCCTGCCTCAGCTTCCTGAGTAGCTGGGATTACAGGTGCACGCCACCATGTCCAGCTAATTTTTGTGTTTTTAGTAGAGGCAGGGTTTCACCACGTTGACCAGGCTGGTCCCGAACTCCTGACCTCAGGTGATCCGCCTGCCTCGGCCTCCCAAAGTGCTGGGATTACAGGTGTGATCCACCATGCCAGGGCTGAAATATTTCTCTTAATAGCAGAATATTTTATGGTTGAACTCTTGATAGTGACAAATCAGTAAATACAACCAAGAAAAAGAAAATGAGAGGTCAGAGTTGCAATACCCCAAATGAAAAATAACAGTTTTTTCAGGGCTTTTTGGTACCAGAACTCAGGCACTTGGATTTTATTACCTTATATTTTTTCTGCATCTCTCTAAAACTTCTGTTTTCAGACCATCCTGTGTATAGAGCAGGAGAGTTTCTACTGCAAGTGACAATCAGAGGTGACTATCTATATTTGCACTTAAAATCAAAGTAGTTCAACATGCAAATGCTAGGGTCTAGCCCTGGATAAGGGCCATGCTGGTGTACTGTGTTGTGATGATGGAAGCAGTAAATCAAAATTATGGAAATTTGCACTGTTGAAAAGCATGCTTTAGCTTTATTTTCAATTAAAAACACTGTTTAAAATTCCTGGTTCCATACATTTCTACTTATTCCAGATTGAAGAAGGGTTAACAGGACTGAATGGTTTTGTTGACATTTTCACTTGTAATGTTTTTACCTGAAAAAAATGCATTTATTGGGTGTGGTGTTTTGTTGTAATACTATGTGAGGGAGGCCAGTCAGGTTCTGTGCAAAACACTGGTGGATTTCTTTCTAAGTAACAACAAAACTTTACCAACTTGTTACAAATCAAGTAGGAAAAGTTTCAGGCTTAAGAAAGTGAAGCAGAGATCAGTGATTGTTTTAATGAAAGTTGAATCTAATAATTTCTGGCCCACCTCCTTTAGTCTGACAACTTATGTATCTCAGATCCTTGCTATCTTGAATCTAAGAAGTTGCATCTATAGATCATAAATCACAAAACAAAACAAAACACCAATGAAATGTTTACTGTGTGAATTTAAGTCACTATTTCTCATGGAAATTCAGTCTATTGTTTTTGTTTTTCCTTAACCTTTTAGTTCCTATTCCCTTTGAAATTTTCCTTTTGTCTATAAATGTTTCAGATAGATCTGGATGGTCTCAGCCCCTAATTGCTGAATATGCTGTGTGGTTTTCCTCTTATTGTAAAGGACTGAGGCTGAGAATACCTGCATCCAAATATATTTGGATGGAGTAAACAGATGCTTTCAACTGCCTTCCTTTCTTTCCTTCTTGAATGTTGCCATGCCAGGTGTAGGTTCACTGGATTATTTTTTATTGGAATGGTAGATATGGTCAAAGTAAAAATTTGGGGATGGTATCCTTGAATTCTTGTTTGTATATAATTCCAAAGACCAGTCCATGTTATAGTTAAAGCCCCAGAAAGCTAAACAATTGGCTTTATAGTCTGAGTTCTTTTCTCTTTGGAAGGCAATACAGAATTTAGGTGCAGTAAGTTGTCCTGAAAAATCAATCTGGTAAAAAGTGTGACACACACATTGGAAGTGTGTAATTTCTACTCTTTAATTACTTCTAAGTTAAGAAAGTTCAAAGTACGGTGACTACTACATGTACACTAGTACTTCTCTAGTTGGCTAAGGACTCATTGTTCCTAAATTATACAGCGAGAATATATTTGAAGTCTACAGATTTTGGGTGTGGAAGGACTGTAAGATGGAATAAGCATAATTTAAAACAAATATACCCTATGGAATTTCTGACATAAAATATTGGCCTGCAGCTTTGACACTTAGTCTCTAACCCTCATAGAATCAATAGTTTCAGTTTATAGGAGCTGGAGAATGAACAGCATGGAGGCCGAGGCTTTCCAGGGTGATACCATCAAAAGGAAAGAAATTAAATAGTCAACACAAATTTCACCCCACAGTACTACTATAAGCCAGCCAACCACAGCAAAACTTGAGTTAGTGCTTCCGTAAGGAAAGAGTACCAAATAGTATGCAGTAACTTGCAAATACAAGGTATTCTTTCAATTCCTGCTAGCCCTTTAGTTGTTTCCCCATTCTGATGTGGGAATTATTCTCAGTACTGTTTATATTATTTTGGTTGTTTTATGATTAATGACAATATCTAGACTTTTCTAAGCTGCTATAAATGTCCCATTTGTTCAGAAAGTTAAGCCTTATTGAGAGAAAAACAAGTTAACTCCATTGATAGATTACATTTGTACATTTAGATGTTTTCAGGGCATAGAATTAAAAACAAACAAAAAAACAAGCACTATATGGCTCCAGGGTGACTGATTCCTGTGTCTAAAGTCCAACATTTAGAGACAGGAGGGAAAAAAGCAGGAAAAGGCTCTTTTTCTAACTTTTTGGGTTAACAAACTTATTTTTGGTCTCCTATAAAAGTGATTTCCTGGTAAGACTGTGAAATGAAAATTTAAATTTTTTTAAAGAGATGTGTGTATTCTGTCTTCCACAGTTAGGTTATCCGCCTTTATAGAAAATGCAGCTTGCTCTTTTTCAACTATTTACTTTTTAAAGTGGGTGTTCTTTTCTACTGGCTTACTTGATTACAGTGGAGTAATCTCAATAATGGTTGTTTATTTGAAAATCAACAAGGAGCCACCACTAAACAACAATAACACAAACTACATGGGGCTGGTGTTGGATTTTTATCTTTTGTGTGTCTGGGTGATTTTCAATGGTCTAGAAATTCCTCAAAGTTCTAATCAACAAAAATTGGGAGTTTCTGCTGATATGAGAATGACAGTTTTGTTTGCATGCAGGAAGAGATGTAGAAACTAATTCCTCAAAAGCATTTTTTTTTTCTTTCAAAAACAAAAACAAAAATCCTTCATGGTAAAGTTTTTTTTTTTTTTTTTTTTTTAATAAAGCATTAGCATCTAAAAAAATAAAGAAAATGTGGTGAGTTTTGCTTCACCTTAAAAATAACTTCCTGCTGGGAAGGATGTAAAAAGAAGGAGTTCCCAGAGCCAAACTAGGAAGGGAAAAAAAAAATGCTTCCCATCAACTAACCTCAGGAAATTGGCAAGGAGGAACAGGGCATCCACCTTAGCGAGTCCACCCGGTCACCCCAGTCATTCCAGGATTTTCCCCTTCCCTGTAAGGAAGAACTATTTTTGATGCTAGCTTTGGTTTTGGTTTGCTCCCTAGGCCAAAGGGCATTTTGCAAACTAGCCTGGGGGATGGGGACGTAGGGCAGATCTAGGAGGTGGGGGAGGGCTGTATTTTACCTGTTTGGCAGGCCCTCCTTTGCAAAAAAGAAAAAAAAGAAAAAACACAGAGTAGGTGGGGAGGGCTTAGGGGGGCTCAGCTATCATTCTTCGCCCATGCCCTGGGCCCCCGCTCTTCTCTCGCTCCTTTTCAAACTGTGGCGGCCTCACAAGCTCCTACTTTAAAAGGCCTGAGATGTTTTGCATGAAGCCCTCACAATAGGGGTTGAGGGAATTGACAGTTTCAAAAACAAGGCGTTCAGTCCTTTCCAGCTGCCGGGCCCGCTCGCTCGCACCAACTCCTCGTTCCTCTCTGCTGGTGGCGTCCTCCGGGGCGCGCGGCCGCCCCCACCCCGCCAGCCCGCGCTCCGGCCGGCCCACCCCGCCCTCAGGCTGTGTTTGTAAACAGCGGTCAGTGGCCGGGGGCTGCTGGCGCTGGCTTGGGGCCTGGCAGGCTGGGAGGGAAGGCAGGGGCCGGCTGATCGCGCGGTGGGCTGCGGGCTAAGGGCCGGCTTGGGGGCCGCGGGGGTTTCGGGATCCCTTTCCCCCTCGCTTGCCCCCGGCCGCCGAGCTCTAGGACGCACCGCGCTAAACCTAGGGCAGCTCCGGGCTCTCTGGCCAGGGCCACCACCACAAGAAAGATGTTTAAGTGCCGCCATTTTGCATGGTGGCAAACAAATTTCTTTGTGACTTTTGTTTTCCCGCCCAGATCTTGCTGTCCTCTGAATGGGTGACGATGTCGACCCCCGGGGCGGGCGGCAGGGCCCGCGCCGCGGCACCTCCTGCGCAGCCTCTCGGCCAGTCGGCCTTGGGACCAGGCCTGGCGGGAGCGGGAGGCCGCAGGGCGCGCGGGGGCCGGCCCTCGGAGCCTGGAACGCCTCCCCTCACTTGGCGCTCCTTTTGTGTGTCCCGAAGTCATCGCCCACCCTGGCACACGCACACGCAGCCTCGCCGTTTCTCACCTTCTCGCCTAGGCCTCATCTCCGCTCCCCAGGCAAATGGGGCCCAGCTCTTCGCATTGGGAGGAGGGCTGGCCAAGGCCTCCAAAAGGCGCGTGTGGATCGCCAGTGGCAAAGGGTTGCGGCTTTCCCCTGGGCCAGCGTGGCCGCGAACGCCTTCTGGGAAGTGGCCCAAGACCAGAGGCCCTGGGTGGTGGGGAGGGCGCGGGGGGGCGCAGGCAGGGCCGGGCGCAACTCCCACAGTGGGAGAAATGGGATGAGGCCCGGCTGGCTGGGTTTGGCGCGTGGTTCCCGTCCCTGGGTACCTCTCCGTGCATCTGCAAGGGGGATGATGGCCTGGAAACGGGAAACGTGAGACAGTGACCTGGAAAGCCACCCTCGGTTGGGGAGGTTGGAGTGCAGCAATGCAAACAAAGCTGCTACCGGGGAAGAGGGGAAACAGAGGTGCACCGCAGCTAGGTCACAGGAAAGTGCAACAAGCTTGTTTTCCCGGGTGTTTAAAATGCAGCCCCAGTTGTAAAGTGTGTGAAATTACGCACTGGTCTCTTAAAGAGTGCCTAATTTATAGTAAATAGCAAGGTCTTTGTAAATGGCTTTATTATGTTGTTTCTTGTTAATTGTTGAGAAAATCCCCATTGTTGAGTGTGAAAGGCTTTATGAGCTAACCTGGTCCTCGGCGCAATCACAGGGCAGTAAAGGGCCGCTCGGCCTCCAAGGCCCCGCGCGGGAGCCGTCGCCCGCCGAGAGTGCCTCGGGGACCTCTGGAGATGCTGCCTCGGCCTGGGAAGAAAGTGGTCAGGCTTTCCAGGTTTTAATTAATGGGAAGGCGTGTTTGGAACTCTCAGGCCCCCAAAAGCAGCTGGTTGAGTGCGGCAGGGGGAACCGGGCGCGCCGGGGGGACCCCGGCCGAGAGGGCAACCGGGAAGCGGAGGGAGCCCCGGCTCCCCTCTTCGGTCACAGGCCGCCGGGGGTCGCGCCTAGGCCTGCGGGTCCGGGGCGCCGGCTCGAGCCGCGCTGCGGTGGGATTAGATCTTGGGCTTTGTCTCCAGTTCTCCAGACGCTTGGAACGCGGAATCGGGCCGGTTCGGTCAGGTCTGCGGAACCCAAAAATGCCTACCGGGCCTGGAGACCGCAGGGTCTGCGGGACAGAGCAGGCTCCGGGTACAGCTCCAGGCCCCAGCTCAGGCCTCTTGTCTTTTGTTTAAAGGGATCTCCATCTCTCTCTTCTTTCCCTCACCCCCTGTTTCTTTCCCCCCTCTCGCCCTCTCTTTTTCTCCCTCTCTCTCCCTCTTACACACACACACACACACACACACACTCCATTAGAAACTAAAATGGAATCGGAAGACGAGAAATAAGAGAAAGGGGTTTTGGTTTTGTGTGTTGAACAAGGAAAAAGAATGTCTTTTTTAAGATAAAATATTCCTATCTCCTTTTCCCATCTCCTCCACTTCCCTTTCCACCCAGTTGGGACCTGGAAAGGGTATGGGCAAAACCAGGCAGGCGCTGGATTCCTTGGATTAACTTTGAGGAGACGACCCGTTGGGGTCCTGCAGGACGGGAGAGGACAAGCGGAGAGTGCCTCCCCGGCCTCGGCCCCGAGGCCTTTCCCGGGATTTAGGACCCGGTGGGTCGGGGGAAAAGCAGCAGCCGCCTCTCCGCAGCCTCTGAGCTCTGGCAGTGCAGTTAGAAGGAAGACAATTCCTTACTGGGCCTACAAGGGTGGAAGAAAACCTGGGTTAGGTGGGCTGCATGTGAGGGTTTAGACATCAGCTAATGCAAATCACAAGGAGATGTTAATTCCAGTCGGAAAAGCCTATATTCAGCTATCTTCCTTCCCTTCTAAGATGGCCCTCTGCTTGCTTGCGCGCTAGCTTTCACCAAATTAGCTATTACGTGAAATCCCCCTGGGTTTAAGGCACTTGTTTCACGGATTCGCGTACAACCCGTATTAACTATGCACTTTCTGCTATTCCTCTTGTGACTGTCCTTGCCTCTTCCTTCTTTGCGGAGAGTATGATGCATTTTATTTTAGCCCAATCGATGCGTGCAAATACTGGGATAACACAACCCACACTTCTGCAATGGAGGCTGTTTTCAAAATTGAGTTTAGGGATCAATACTAAGTCGAAATGCTCCAAATTGCACGAATTCACCAAATTCAAGCCCTGGGCTTCCAAGCCCCTATCCTGACTGATTAACGCACTCTCAGATAGCTGTGCTTCCACTGTTCCTGCCTCTCAAAACAGGATGTTTTCGTCTAGTGTATTTGGCTTTCCCTAAAGATCACTCGGGTTTGCTTGGAAAAACACGACCCCAAAACCTGTGGTGTGAAACTCTTGTCGATGGCTTCCGTACAGGTCTCCTCTCACATTTGCCTTGCGGACTGCCATCTCCCTTTCTTTATTTTCCTGGGACCGAACAGCAGCACCTAGCAGTGCCACGCTCCGAAAACGTTTGCTCAACTGAATAAATGCTTTACTGGTCAGGGAGCAGCCCTATCCTGTGCCACTACTTAGCTCCCACGCTGTCTTCTTCGCCCAGAGCTGAGCTGCTTCGATTGCAGCACAGCGAGCTCTCTATTCTTTTCGGGCTGCGGCCATGGCTGCGGGGCGACTGGTGCCTAACCGGGTGTGTGCGTGTGGCGGGGGCGGGGGGCGCGAGGGGGACAAGGCGGGGAAGGGCAGTGGTTGTCCCCTTTTGCAAGAAATGTTTAAGGCCCTAGAGGTGTGTATGTGGGGGGTGGGAGGGATTCCAAAAGAGAATCAGAAGAGCTTGCTGCCCACAGATGTGTATGTATATAGTCTAAAAAGAATATATGGGAAACAACCCAAATACCTAGGATGCCAGGGTGTCCCTGATTCCTTAATTCCTGCTGTCTGGATCTTCCTTCAGAGTAGATAACTGGAACAAGAAAGAAAAAGGTGGAGAGATAATAGCAGGCAGTCTAGAGGCCTTCCAGTAAGATGCAGTTATTCATCTAATCATTGCCATCAACACGTTTGTGTTGGACCCTTTTTGCATGGAAAAGGCTCAGCAGTCAGTTGACTTAGACCCTAAAATATCACCAGGCTAGCAGAGGGCAGCTCTGCAAAGGACTTCTCCAGCCCCAGTGCACAGAAGGAAGGGAGGGAAAAGAAAAAAAGAGAAACCACCTGAGTGGCAGCTTACCCTCATCTTCCTCAAGCCACCAAAACAAACAAACAAACTCAGAATTCTCCGGGAGGCTGGGAGAAGCACATGTAGGGCACCGGAGGTTGAAATGGAATTTCTGTTGTTAGTGCTTGCCCTCTTTAAGATCAGTTTAAGTTGGTTCCAGGAAAAACACAATACTTGTGGTAAGTGATGAGCAGTAGAAAGGAAACACTGTGTGGAAGAGAGGCTGCACTGAGTGGAGGTAGCTGACCTCCTCCCCCTTTCCTGTGAAAGTTAGATATATAAGAGCTCTGAAGGCTACCACTTGGTCAGTAGGCAGGGGTTTCATTCTCAGCAAGGGCCTAGATTCTTGGATATTCAGGAATAAAGACACATTTTACATTCATTCTCTCATCTCTCCCCCCCACACCCCACCCCGCCACTGCCTCCCTTCAAATGAATACCCTGATTGTCAGTGGTGCAAATGTCTGAGATTAGTTTTCTTCCTCTACGTTGGATCCAAATATGCAGACCAGTGTGGCTGGTTAAGCTTTCAGATGTCTAGTTATCCTATCCATTCAAAGTCAAACCTGCATGATATAATGGGAATTGCCTTGAACAGGTTTATTTACCTTTCTCTCCTTTTCCCTGTATCTTCTGTTTTCTCTCTCCTCCTACTCTCTCAGCTTTTCCCCGTCTTCCCTTCCCCCTACCTAACCCTTGCACCCAGGTGAAGGCTACGTTGGGAAATACCCATATTTAGTAATATTTGCCCTAGAAGTGGAAAGAGGGTAAGATCTGGACTTAAACCAATGCTGAGAGAAGCAGTGTGGGAGCCTGCAGTGATCCTGAGCTTCCTTGCTGGGGTGAGGGGCCAGGGCTTTCCAGCCTCTTGTCCTGCATGTGCTGAGCTATTCTGGTTAGGCTATAAAAAACAGCATGTATCTCAAGACCAGGAGAGCTGCACTCCATAAACACATGGCTATGGTTCTAACATGGAGCACATTGCCAGATGCAAATGTAAAGAGATGCTTTTAATTTTGTTCCCAGTGTTATACATCATGTGGCAAATTGGCCTTCAGGAAGCCAATTTTTATTTTTTCTGTTAATAATAAATACTTTTTAAACAAACTTAAACATTTATGATTGATAATTAAAAGGGTGTACATCACTACTACCGGAATGTTTCTTATCTGATTTTAAAGAGAGGTGGGATCTCTTTTTTTTTTTCCCGTTTCCTAAATAAGGAAGATTTGTAAGTGGAAGATCTTGGTTAACATTCAAATCATTCAAATTGTTCAATTGTTTTGCTACTCATGACTTTAAGAAAATAAAAAAAAATTTAATTATTGTGTTTTTTATCCTTTTACATCTTTATGCACCATAAATTTAAAAGTAAATTAGGAAATTAGTTACACACTTCTGTCATCTTCTTTAAAGAAACTACCTCTGAAACATCTACTTTCCCTAATACAGCCAGTATTTCTTATTATCTTACACATTTCAGTCTGTTTGTAATTTAAGATTACCATTAAACAGGAGAAAAACAACTTATTTTGTAGAATGTAAGTCGGAAAGAAATATAACTTATTTTGTAGACTTAAGGAGGTTACAAGTATTTCTAAAATTTTGTCCTTTCTGTGAGTCTCTAACTGGTTTATCTGAAAAGGATCTGATCCTACCACACATGAAGGCACTACATATAATATCCTGACACAACAGAAGGATTTCTAGATGAATTGGAAGCATCCTGATTGTGAATATCCTATCTTTTCCTGTTTTGAACCACTACTTTAGTGTATACTCCAAGATTGATTTTAACTGTGATCTCCTTCAAGAAAAAAAAAAAAAAGTGCAAAAAAATAATATTAAGAAAAAGAGAAGGCCGGGCATGGTGGCTCATGCCTGTCATCCCAGCACTTTGGGAGGCTGAGAAGGCAGGCAGATCACTTGAGTTCAGGGGTTTGAGACCAGCGCGGCCAACGTGTTGAAACTCCATCTCTATTAAAAATACAAAAATTAGCCCGGCATGGTGGTGGGTGCCTGTAATCCTAGCTCCTTGGGAGGCCGAGGCAGGAGAAACGCTTGAACCTGGGAGGCAGGCGGAGGTTGCAGTGAGCGGAGATCATGCCACTGCACTCCAGTCTGTGCGACAGAGTGAGACTCTGTCTCAAAAAAAAAAAAAAAAAAGAAGAAGAAGGAGGGAAGCAGGAAGTCTTTTATAAATTCTGTTAGAACCATTGATCCCAGTTACCTGCTATAATGTGAATGGAATCATTATGGCTGTTGCATTGACGTGGTTCCTTCATTCAGGATCCTGGCCAAAGGAATAGCATGTCAACGTGTAAAATTCTAGCCAAAGATAAGCCATTACAATGGAAATCGTGATGTGCAAAGTCTCATTGAAGCCAATGAAACTGAGTGTAATATCCATATAGCATTCTCATCTGCTTGCTCCAGGATTTAGTATGCGGCTCTGCATCGAAATGAGATTATGCATATAAAATGCCAATATAGAATACACTGCCCAATAAAACATTAGAAAAGCAACTTACAGCCCATATACATGGGCTTTACTTAAATTTGAACTTCACGTGCAAAATAAACCACAGTGCCATCAGAACACTAAATCTACAAAATGTCCTCACTCTGGTTTTTCATGCTGCTTTCTGCATGATTCCCTCAGCCCCCCTCCTATTCAAACACAGTTCTTTCAAGGGCACTCTTCAAATCATCTAACAATTCCCAAAGGGTATTCCAGGAGTCTCTTAAAGTGTCTTTCTAAATTAAAAGGCTCCAAACAATTTAAGTGCATTTTTGAACCAAAAATATCAGAAAATATTTGGGCTTGCAAACCTATGGGTGTGTAACCAGAAGAAAGGGACGAAAGAGAAAACACCCCCACAGTGGATTACAAGGTTATGGGACAGGTCACTAGGAAAGGGAAATAAAACTGAATGTTAGGTTGGGCTTGTAAATTATGCACCTTTCAAGGAAAGAGGTTTAAGGTCTCTTCACTGAAGGGTTTTTTCCCATCCATTTTGCTATTAATTCTTAACTCTTGGTAGGCAGTTCTTTAATGAGGTTGTTTGTGGCAGGTTAATTTTATCCAATCTACTAAGCTCCTCATTTTCCCTTTTAAGTGCACTGCTGCCTACAGCTTTCAGCATTTTCCATACCAGAAGAAAACAGAATAAACGTGAAGTTGCCTGGCTGGGCTGAGAATTAAAGGCGTTTTGTGTACAGATAAACAGAGGACCTGGACAGATGGGAGTGGGAGGGTAGAAACTGGGCTGAGTTGAGGGCATGAGGGAGAGAATTCGGTCTTAGGAGAGCAATGACCCTAGGAGTGTCATATATTAAATATTGCAGCAATCGATTTCAATACCCCAAGTGGACATGGGAATAAAAATTCACCACAAGCTGAAGTGATTAGGAATGCTTTGTTGTGAGGGGAAAAATGTGATTTTCTCCAGATCCTTTTTGTTCAGGTTAGAAGAGGCCTAGACAATCCAAGTGTAGGCCCTGGACTCCCCATTTGGGGTATAGCCCTAAAGGTTAGTCATATCTCAATGGCGCTTCTGCTTAGTGAAACGATGAGCCTTTGTACCAAGGGGATTAAATATCAACCACAATTATGGGCTGGTCACTCTAGGAGCTTTCCTCCCAAATCAGAGAAGAGTACATTTTGGAGAGGCTGCCCCTTTCCTCTGTGTTAGTCTTTGTTTCAGCATCGGGACAAAGCAGTTGCTTTGCACAATTCTTCTTTCACTAAAATCCAGGGAAAAATGCACAATATAGTTTACAGAAGGTTGATTCACAATAGCAGGCCATAAAAACAGCCTTTGGTGCTACGTAGGGAAGAATATTTTTGAAATGTCATTCTGGGGACAAAAGTATGAAACTGTGATCCATGCAGGGACAAATACCCACTACCACACATGATTTCATTAGTGATTTCATAATTGGGTGGGATTTTCTGTTATTTATTTATTTTTTTTTAACTGAATCCAGCTCTTAGGCATTCATGCTATGAACTGTGTTCTCTCAGTCCAGGAATCTGTTTAGGGATTTGGGGTAGTCACTGTGGAGGCTGCTTGGAGCCGGGGGATTGTTTTCAGTCACAGCCTGATGGGCAAAGCCTGGGCTCTTCACACTGGGGACACCAAGTCGGCTGCTAGGGACACACTGCTGGATGCCTGCATGCAGCGGCGGCAGCTCCTGCAGCTGCCTCCTCCTTCAGTGTGGCTGCCACAAATCTGAGAAAGACATGCAGCATCATACAAAGGATTTCTTTAATGAGGATGACTTCCTCAGAGCGACTGTAGACTGTGGTTCTGCTCTGGCCTCTCTTTCCCTCTACTCCATCTTTTCCTACCTGTGATATCCTTCCTTATACAGAAGCCTGGGGTTGGAGAAAGCAACAACCCCCATCCCCCAACACATACACACACAACCACTACTCTCTCTCTGACAACCCAGAGGCTGATTTCTATTTTACCCTGGTAGTTGAGTGAGGATGGACTGAGTCAGGCTAGAATTGCAGAGTTGGGCAAAAGCAAACATATGTTTATACATATCTACACTTCCTCCCTTCTCTACCATGGTCTTCTACTCTCATCACAAATGATGACTTGCTCTCACTTGGAGTTTGGTTGTAAGTACTAGATGTACTTGTCTATAAGGACCTCCTTACCTGGGAATGGTCCAGGCAGGAGGAGGAACCCTAAGCCCATTTCTTGGGAATCTAATGTGGGCTGACCTTGGCTGGATTAAGGCTGAGATTGATTATGCAACAAAGCACCTAGGTTTTCGCAGCTTGAATCTCCCTGGCTTTCTGTGGAGTGATGACTGGCTACAGGGAGGCTATTATGCCTTATAAAGCTATTTATCTCCCTGAAGCTACATGGCCTATTCCTCTCTTCAGGTTGGGGAGAGGGGTAGGTTGGGTCCAGTCAGGTGTAAGAGTAAAATTCACTCAGAAAAGTTACTTTGAGAAAGTGTTAATAGTTATTGAAACCAGTTATCTCTCTTTTAGAGTGTGGGAAACACTGAGTTATGGGGCAATTTGGATAAGAAAGGAATCGTTCCATTTTGTGCTGATCCCCTTTGGTCATCTTTTATTCTGCATCTCCCCTGCTCCTCTTCCTCCCTGCCCCCCATCCTTCTCTTCCCTGCTTCTTCTTCTGCCTTTCCTCCTCCTCTTCTTTATTTTAAATCATATCAGAAGAACAAGCAGGTCGAAAGCACCAATGGGCTTACACTGTGAGGGCCTCTGCTGCAGCTGAAACAAGGCCTGGCTGTGTCTGGGCAGGTGGCACAGAGAGCAGAGATTCTTGTTCTTGTGTGACCAAGGGGTAATCTGGAGACAAGGAATCACCTTGGGGGAAGACATGTGGGTGGGGTCTCTCTGTCCCAGGTCACTGAGGGAGTTTCTGGGCCCAGGGCCTAAGCCGAAGAACCCTGAAGGCCTGCTCTGGTGTAGGGTACCTGTTGCTGGAAGCTGTGTGGGGAGCCTCTGGCCCCGCCGGCCTACTGTAAGTCCTGGGGTTAGGTCGGGCTCCCCCTGGGGTTGCTGGATTCACCTGTCATTACGCTCACTGCCCAGGGCCCCTGACAAACCTCCACAATGTGGGGCTGAACAAGGGCGCTTAAGGTTCACTGATCTGTGTGTAGAACTTTGCAAAACTGCAAATAAGCGAGAAAATTTGGCTATTCTTGTGACGGGAGATACAAGTTTGCACTTAACATGGAAGCATGAGAAAAAGAAGGAGGAAAAACCCCTTCTGGCCCAAAGCCCCACTGTAATCTCCAGAACAATTTCATTTCCTCTGCAGCACCCTGGCTACCCTCGCCCAGGCCTCAGAAAGGTCAGAGGGAGAAGGAGCTTAAGAGCAGGGTGGGGACGCAGAGGGGTGGCTAGGCCGTTGGCCAGGTCGCAGGTGACGGCCGGCTGTGTGATGCGAGCGCGCAGGATGGAAGGCCGCAGGACGAGGGAGGGGCAGAGCCACGGCTTTTGGAAGGGTTTGGTGTTTTCTAGAGGGCTTTTTCTCAGGAATTTGCACGGTCCGCCTCTGGGGCGGCTTATTGGGGCTCTCCCCAGCCCCTGCTAGCAGAACAGGTCGCAGGGAGCTCAGGTTTCCGCCGAAGCTTCGCGCCCCCTGGCCGCCAGCACTCCGCCGGCCTCTGCCAACAGGCCTTTCCCGCTTGCTGAGAAAGGGAAAAGCGCGCGCCCCGGCCCCGGCGGGCTGAGATCACGTTTGTGCCGAGCAACTCCGGTACTCCCGGGGAAGCCAAACTGCTCCCTAGCAGCTGCGTCAACCTCGC